GCGCGGCCTCCAGCGCCGCGCTCCCTCTCAGGGGGCGGCTGCCCGCGCCGGGTGCACCTGGCGCCCCTCCCTGAAGGGCACGCTGTCCTCCGGGCGGCCCGCCTCCTTCCCACCCCCGCGCTCCTAACGGTAGTTCTTCGACCCCTCCAAAATCCGGCCAGGGTTCCCGGTCTCCCCCCGCCAGCATCCTCCGCCTGGCCCGCTCGAGGTCCGCCGACCCCGAATGCCCAGCGCTCCCTGGAGATTCCTCAGCGTGCCTCCGAGTTCATGTTGGAATCAGCTGGGCCCTGCGGGTCTTAAAGTCCAAGCATTGCACGACTTTGGCTAACGTGGAAGCTTTTCCCCATAACCACAACACCTATACTGGGTCTTCACCTTAATTTACTTTCAGCCGGCGACATTAACGCTTGGTCATCGGGGTCTCCTTCCTCCCGGTTCCCCGGCGGTGTTACACTTTAGTCTTTTCTGTTGCCAGGCTGGGCCCTTCCCGGCCCATCTCCCCTGATGCAGCAAACTCTCCAGCTACGGCCCCTGTCACACTGCCTTTTTTTTCTTTTTCTTTTTTCTCGTTAACTTTAAGGAGATCCCCATTTTATACCTCTTACCCAGTCATTACTGGAATTCCCAGTAAGCTTCCAGGTTTGGTCCATCGTAACTCTGGCCCTTGGAGATGCTAAATCAGTACTTGTTGACCGGTTCTTCCCTCCAGCCACCCAGTCTTACCCCTTCTGCTTTTCAGTGCTTCTTTCCCAAAGATCATCAACCTTTACACACCCTCTGCGCTGCTTCTTTGAGCTCACATGCCACTTGCAACTTAGCTCCCCACCAAGAGGCTCCAACTTGCCTCTGCAATTGAAACACCATGAGTACCAACAGGCGGGCCCCCTTTGCGCTCACAATGTGTGTGGGAGTTTGCTTTTTGGCTCTTTTATCTGTACTGTTCGCTGTGCAGTCCCAGGACACCTACCCTCACTCCAGCTCCGGTTTTATTTCCTGCATTGTAGGTCTAGCATGTCATTGGGAAAGGTTGGGGCAGATCTGGACTTTGTGTTGCTGCCATGGCCTGGGATCCAGGTACCAAATGGTGATTACAGTCAAGTGAGTTGTATTCTAGACTCCTTGTCTGGCTTTTTCAGCCAGTGGATGTGTTAGTATTGTGTGTGATTTGATGGATTAAAGGACCCCAGTTTGCCCTCCCTTTTACGTCTGTGGTTGGAGTTTGGAATAGAAAAAAATAGCCCCACTTCAGAGCAGAGAAGGTGAAAAGAGGCAGCTATGTGAAAGATTTACAAAATTCTAACAGATGTAAAATGGCTTAAAACTCACAAAGTATGCTTGGGAGTTCTGGTTCTGGTTCTCCAGCCTAGATAGAGTGTCTAGGGACCTCCGGGTCCCCTACTGGGGCAGCTGCAGCCTGTCTTCCTTGTTTTCCCTGGCTGGAGTCCAAGATGGGGCAAGTGGGCAGAAGGGATCAAATGAGTTAAAGTATGGAAATGCTTTGAAAACTGTTAACTAGTAGACGTGCTGAGGGGCAGCATTTGTCAGGATGGTTCAGAGAGTAGAGCTGGGATAGCTGAACAGCCGAGAGGATCCAGCTTGCATAATTTTGTTTGTTTTCATAAATTTTTATTGACTGTTTGTGTGTTTTGTTTGTTTTTTGAGAGGAAGGGAGAGAGAGAGAGAAACATCGGTCAGTTGCCTCCCTCACATGCCCAGATGGGGGATCAAACCCGCAACCTGAGCATGTGCCCTTACTGGGAATTGTACTGGAACTAGGCTCCAACCAACTGAGCCACAGCAGCCAGGGCTTATACTGTTTTTTAAGCCTCAAAGAGTTCTCAACTACCATGCAGGGAGAATCTTTCCATCCTGACAAAGGGCGGAGTCACCTCCGACAGGCTTGGGGCTGGGCAGTTGCTCAAATGTTGGGGAATTTGGGATTCTACTTCTGTTAATAGTGGTACCTTTCTGTGCCAAGGCACATTGCTCTGGATTGGGGCTAATTTTAGGGGTGATGGAATGAGGAAATAATGTTCTTAACTTAGTGTGTACTGGGACCACAATTCTCTGGATCTTTACCTTCTCCTGTGAGTTCTGAACCCCAGAGAACAGGCTCCCCTCCTGTTCCTGTGCCTTTTGTGAGCACCCAGGATCGATTTGTGTCCTGTCTCCTTGACTCCGGCAGGGGGCAGCCTTTTAATAGCAATAATTCAGATGCCAGGAGAGTGAGGATATACTAAGGCCTGAGAAAGAGGAGCTGGTAGGCCAGACAAGCAGATGCTGAGGGCAGGGCAAGGGGTGGGGGCTCAGCTGGAAGGAGCCTGTGAGGAGATCCTTAGATCAAGTAGCTGGGAAAGGCCTTGTCCCCACTCCTCTGCCTGCTGACTCTCCCTCCCTGTCCTTCACTGCAAAGGAATCCGAATGCTTGGCTTTGAAAGTTTGTAATAGAGAAACTTAGGACAATTTTTTAAAATATTCCCAAGGATTTCCCTCCTGTCATGGTTTCAGATTTCTCTTATGGGACAGTATAATTAGGGAATTGTTTTTCTTGCTCTTCAGAGGGGAGAATGAACTGCAGTAAATTTGGTATCTCTTGTCTTTCATTCTTCCCCATAAACAGAAAATAGGCATTACCTCTGCTCCGGCATAGAGGAGGGTTTCTCAACCATGGCAATATTGACATTTTGGGCCAGATAATTCTCTGTTGTGAAATGATGTCCTATGCATTGTAGGATGTTTCGCAGCATCCCTGACCTCTACCCATTAGATGCCAGTAGCACCTTCCAGTCATGCCAACCAGATGTCTCCAGGTTTTGTCAGATGTCTTCCAGGGAGCAGAGTCTCCCCCTACCCCCCAAGTTGAGAACCGCTGGCATTGAGGAAGCATGTAGAAAGACACATACCTGCTGAGAGGGGTGGAAATTGTGGAAGGCATGCGTGCTGCTTGGCAAGGAATGGCCAGTTAGCCACCAGCTCTGGGACCAGATCCTCCTCCTGCTCAGCCCACCTGGAGTTTGGCCTTTTTCCTCAACTGTTCCTGTACTCCCCACCCCGACCCTGACTGCTTCTCATTTTGCCTCTGCAGATTTCCTGCTTCTCACACTGGGAGCCGTTTTTCTTCACTTTGCTTATTGCAACCAGGACAGAAAGGCAAAGGCCAGCCGTGGAAAGCACCAAGGAGTGCCGCCTTTGCCACTCCTTGGCAGGGTGGAAGGGTGAGTTGTCCCTTTTCTGTTCCCTTTTCCCCACAGCAGCCTTCTATGCCACAGAACTCCGTTGTTCCTCTAGAAGATGGGCTCTTCTGGAGTGAACTGGAGGAGGCTCAGAACAGCCTCTCCTGAGGTTTGTTTGAAGGAATTGGAGGTGTTTTTCTTGAAATGGAAAAGACTTAGATTTGTGATAGCTATCCCTAAATGCCTTTTATTGGTTTCCCTAAACCTTTTTTTCTTTCTTTTTTTGATGGTAAAATATAACATTCACCATTTTAACCATTTTTAAGTGTAAAGTTTTGCAACATTAAATACATTGATATTGTTCAGCTATCATCACCACCCATCTCCAGAACCTTTTCATTTGTCTCATTTCAGTTGAAACTCTGAACCCATTTAACAACTTCTCTTGCCTCATAGCCTCAGCACCTACCATTCTACTCTCTTGTCTCTTTGAATTTGACTCCTCTAGGAATCTCATTTAAGAAG